GGTAGATGAAGGGAACGCAGTGGATGTAGCCTACCTTGATTTCAGCAAGGCATTTGACAAGGTGCCTCACGATATCCTTGTAAAGAAGCTGGTAAAATGTGGTCTTGACTATGCTACCACTCAGTGGATTTGTAACTGGCTGACTGACCGAACCCAAAGGGTGCTCATCAATGGTTCCTCTTCATCCTGGAGAAGAGTGACTAGTGGGGTGACACAGGGTTCTGTCTTGGGCCCGGTCTTATTCAACATCTTTATCAACGACTTGGATGATGGACTCAAGGGCATCCTGATCAAATTTGCAGATGACACCAAACTGGGAGGGGTGGCTAACACCCCAGAGGACAGGATCACACTTCAAAACGACCTTGACAGATTAGAGAACTGGGCCAAAAGAAACAAGATGAATTTTAACAGGGAGAAATGTAAAGTATTGCACTTGGGCAAAAAGAATGAGAGGCACAAATACAAGATGGGTGACACCTGGCTTGAGAGCAGTACATGTGAAAAGGATCTAGGAGTCTTGGTTGACCACAAACTTGACATGAGCCAACAGTGTGACGCGGCAGCTAAAAAAGCCAATGCAATTCTGGGCTGCATCAATAGGAGTATAGCATCTAGATCAAGGGAAGTAATAGTGCCACTGTATTCTGCTCTGGTCAGACCTCACCTGGAGTACTGTGTCCAGTTCTGGGCACCACAGTTCAAGAAGGACACTGACAAACTGGAACGTGTCCAGAGGAGGGCAACCAAAATGGTCAAAGGCCTGGAAACGATGCCTTATGAGGAACGGCTAAGGGAGCTGGGCATGTTTAGCCTGGAGAAGAGGAGGTTAAGGGGTGATATGATAGCCATGTTCAAATATATCAAAGGATGTCACATAGAGGAGGGAGAAAGGTTGTTTTCTGCTGCTCCAGAGAAGCGGACACGGAGCAATGGATCCAAACTAGAAGAAAGAAGATTCCACCTAAACATTAGAAAGAACTTCCTGACAGTAAGAGCTGTTCGACAGTGGAATTTGCTGCCAAGGAGTGTGGTGGAGTCTCCTTCTTTGGAGGTCTTTAAGCAGAGGCTTGACAACCATATGTCAGGAGTGCTCTGATGGTGTTTCCTGCTTGGCAGGGGGTTGGACTCGATGGCCCTTGTGGTCTCTTCCAACTCTATGATTCTATGATTCTATGATTCTATGGTTGTGGTTAGGCATTGGTTTATGGTTTGGTTGGTTGAGGGGAAGTGGTTGAGTGCCTGCCCTTGGTAGGTTGAGTGCCTGCCCCTCTAATGCTGCTGCTGCAAGGGATTCCGTTAAAGGAATTGGGGGCTAACTATTGCTTGTCCACTCTGTCAAGGGGGGCTCGGGCCATAGCAATGAGCTCCTGGTTGCATTTGGGGTGAGGGCAGGTTCCCTGCTCCGCGTAACCCCCAAGTGTATTCCCCCATTCTGACTTTCGCATCGTGCGGAATGTCAGTCTGTTCCCCATGGTGGGGGCAGATAGTTGCAACCAATGCCTAAGTAACCACTCACAAATTTGTATTTTAATAAAATTGTGGCCAAAACTATGCCAAAAATCTTAAACAAAAAATTTTGTGTGATATGTGAGTTATTGGGGTGGCCCTGGGGACCTCGACACGCAAAAAAAGATCAGGAAGGAGTAACTGGATAGAATAGCTGTAAACTAAAAGCAGGATTTGGAGTAAGAGTACTGAATGAAAATTCATTAGCGCCACATTTTCAGAGCTGGTGTGAGTAAGCAATAGGTTCATTTGAAGGAAGGAGGAGCTGTTTGTGAGGTGGAAGAAAGGACAAAATGACTGAGGAGAAAAGGCAAGTAAAAGCTGAATAGGCAGACAGGTGGGTGATTGTACTGTATGATACTACCTGCTGATATGGAAGAACTCATCAAATATTTGGTTAAATGTTTCAAATCCTTTAAACACACACACAATTGCAGTTGACCATTTTACCACAATCCACTCCATATTTGTAAATCTGTGGTCTATTTTCTACCACATAATTGGGAAAGTGATATTTGCCCATTTGCCCATTTGTCCATCTGTCCATTTCTTTTCTACAGATTTGGATGCCTCTCAAGATATCATTGCCAAACTTGACAAAAGGGTTCACGAGGCAGGAGCATCAATCTTCATCACTATTTGGGCACCAAGTACCATTCTGAATCGAGGTGGCAGATCAAAATGTGATATTAAAGTGACTTTGCCAGTTTTTGGCATGATAGGCCTAAATTCACAAGTTTCACTATTTGGGTTCCTTTCTGTTTATTTTTTTTGTTTTTTGTTTTTACAGATTATTGTATTGTTTTATTCTTTTCGTATACCACTTTGAGGGTTTTGTGTTTTTTTAAAACCATAAATAGTGTATAAATTCTATGAAGTGAAATAAATAAATTAAAGAATCACAATATATTTGGGTTTCTAAAAATTCCCAGGCAGGGAAAATACACACACAAGCTGTGTATATTTCCACGTGAACACTATCTATACCTTGTGGTTGTTGTGAGCCACTTTCCAACATTTGTTTTTGGAAAAACAGAATACAAATATCAAATCAAGTCCAACTGTTGCATCTTGTAATTTCAGCTTCACCTAGCACTGTCCCCAAAGATACATTTGGTAATCAGGAATTTGCCTTGAGCCCTGGAGCATGTTGTGGATGGGGAAAGACCCAAGTAAATCTCTTACTTCCTGACATTTGGTTAGTGCCAGGCTAACCTTCAATTGCAAGACACAATATAACCACAGGTCTATGTAGATATCCATATGGGCTCCACGAAAGGGCCGCAGAGATACACAAAAGAATGGGTTCAAGAGGGTTCGTATAAGGGTTCGTATTGAACCTGCAATGCTCAGATTAATAAGATCTGTGCTGTTTTTCTTCCTACTTAGACAGCTTTCATCTGTAGTGTTGTTGCTGTTATTTTTTCTAAAGCACATGTCTGATGGAATGTGAAATATAAACAGATCCTGTATTAAAATATGCCGCAAAAATATATCAAAGGCAATACAATCAAGGAGAAATTAAAACAAAATTAGCCAATTTACATTTTTCCCTCTATCAGAAAATGTTTGCAATTGAACCTCTTTCCACATACCACACAAGTAGCATTTTGCAATTATGGAAGCATGGAATGCACTTGTCAGTCACTTTTGAAACCTGCTTGGGCCCCAAATTCTTCCGACCCATTGTAAGAAAACAAATGAAAGAGAGAAGCAATTATACAATGGAAACCCATATTCTGGCATGCATTTGCAAAAGGTCGATTCTTTGTCGTGTTGGCAAGAAAATCTGCCTCCTCTCTTCAGCCTTGTTTAAACACGCATTTTTAAAAACCAAAGAATTTACAACAGATAAGATGCTTGCGTGAGTTATTAGTGCGTATTCACGCAGGGAAGAGAACTTGCACGAGCAGGGAGAATCTCATCATCGTGCACAGTAGTTTGTATTAAGACAGGGTAGGAATCACCGTTCCAAAGCTTTGAAATCTTTGAAGGCTTGACACCCAGAAATCAGTAAAGTTTCAGAAGCAGCCCCAGTACAATGGGTTGCATGTTTCGTGGACAGAGTCTGTGTATATTGTATAAGCTCATGCGATGGTGGCATTGCTCAAATGGTTTAAAAGCTCAACACTTTTAATATAGGCATCGGCATGCATACATATGGATCTGATTTCCTGCAGCCAAGAGCACGTTGAGCAACAGAAATGCACACACCTTTTCAAAACGTATTACAATGCATTTATTGTCTAGTGAGCAAGTAAACCATATACCTGTGACAATGCTGGTAGCACAGCATCAAAGCTGATAATTTTTTTTGGAAAAAAAACCCCTCTTATAATACAATATATAAAGTCTGGGAAAAGAAATAGCCTAAGGATACAACCCAGTACCATTAAGTTCAAGGAGATTTTCCCCATGGATTTCAGGAATATGGAATGACCTTTTGACTTATAAGTGCACCCAGAGATGCCCAGAGTCCATTGCTTGCTTATTTTTGTTTCTCGTTAAATTCCATTTCATGTACATAAAAATAGACTTACATGTGCATCGCATGTAATTCCACATAGTTCTAAAATGCAGACGTTAAATTGTTTTATAATTATGTCTATCCCGTCTGTCTGTGTAACTATTTTTAACATTGCTCCCTTTGCTTCCCCACCCCAGTGAACCATCAACATTTTTTTGTTTTTAATAACCATATTCCCATCTTACACTGTTAGGCCACGATTCCCCAACAGCTGAAAGCTAATTATTCGAGACTCAGCTGCAATCTGTTTGGCTCTCGTTAGGGTAGGCTGTTCATATGAAGCAAATTACACAACTAGCTCCTTTCAGTCCTTCAGGATCATTGGCCGGGAAGTTTAATGTACCACATCGTCTCGCTATTAGTCCAGTACTTTATTCCCCATGGGATTGCAGGGTTCACTTTGAACATCTTGCTTTAATAAGTAGAAATATTCAAAAAAACAAACAAAAAAAACAACAACCCCAAACCCTCTGCTCTGATGGACAGAGAAAGTAACACTTTGTAAACTACCCAAATGCTCTTCTCAGAAAGTGCTTTCTAGAGATTAGAGGATAAATGCGCAGTATCTCTCTATCTCTATGGAAAAAACCCTCCAGCTAATCTCATTGAATCTCAGTGGTGTGCATTCAGTTATGTCTAACAAAGCAACATCAACATGTCTATCACCGGTACCTCATCCTAACGATGCTGTTTCTATGTACAGTGGTGCCCCGCAAGACGAACGCCTCGCAAGACGAAAAACCCGCTAGACGAAAGGGTTTTCCGTTTTGGAGGCGCTTCGCAAAACGAATTTCCCTATGGGCTTGCTCGCAAGACGAAAGCCCATAGGGAAATCTCCGGTCCGCGAAGCCTGGGCGCGCTGATCTCAGCGCGCGCAGGCTTCGGCATGCCGGCAACTCTCCGCGAGCAGCGGCAGCGCTGCCGCTGCTCGCGGAGAGGTCCGCGAAGCCTGGGCGCGCTGATCTCAGCGCGCGCAGGCTTCGGCATGCCGGCAACTCTCCGCGAGCAGCGGCAGCGCTGCCGCTGCTCGCGGAGAGGTCCGCGAGCCTGGGCGCGCTGATCTCAGCGCGCGCAGGCTCGGCATGCCGGCAACTCTCCGCGAGCAGCGGCAGCGCTGCCGCTGCTCGCGGAGAGGTCCGCGAAGCCTGGGCGCGCTGATCTCAGCGCGCGCAGGCTTCGGCATGCCGGCAACTCTCCGCGAGCAGCGGCAGCGCTGCCGCTGCTCGCGGAGAGGTCCGCGGAGCCTGGGCGCGCTGATCTCAGCGCGCGCAGGCTTCGGCATGCCGGCAACTCTCCGCGAGCAGCGGCAGCGCTGCCGCTGCTCGCGGAGAGGTCCGCGAAGCCTGGGCGCGCTGATCTCAGCGCGCGCAGGCTTCGGCATGCCGGCAACTCTCCGCAAGCAGCGGCAGCGCTGCCGCTGCTTGCGGAGAGGTCCGCGAAGCCTTGGCTGGACAGCTTTTGAAGGCAGGTGGGGGACAAAGACTTTCGCCCCGCCAACCTTCAGAAGAGGTCCAGGACCTCTTCTGAAGGCTGGCGGGGGCAAAGTCTTTGTCCCCCTGCCTGCCTTCCCAGGGGCTTTAAATTGCCCAGGACAGCGGAGAAGTCCTCCGCTGTCCCGGGCAATTTTAAAATGCCGCCCGCCAGCATTTTAAGATCGCTCCGGACAGCGGAGAAGCCCTCCGCTGTCCCGGGGTTTTTTAAAATGCTGGGGGTGGGAAGAAAAGCCCTTGTCCCCCCCCCCCAGCCTTCAGAAGAGGTTGGGGACAGACTGTCCCCGGACCTGGTCTGAAGTCGGTTTCCCTAGGAACGCATTAATTGATTTTCAATGCATTCCTATGGGAAACCGTGCATCGCAAGACGAAAAACTCGCAAGAAGAAAAAACTTGCGGAACGAATTAATTTCGTCTTGCGAGGCACCACTGTAGGATTTTGGCAGCAGCCACTGTGTCAGGTTGCATCAGAGGGAGAAAAGGGAAGCAGGATTACTCCATTGGCTCCTCAGAGAAGCCAGCTCCATTTGGCTCCTCCTCTCCTCTGGGAGTTCCCATTCCAACATTATTAAAAGAACCACAATGTAACTTTAACAATTAGTGTTGGGTTTTGTTCCCCCCGCATCCTTTCTTATCCCCTTTCCCTGTAATGTCACAACTTTGTATATCTATGAAGTTGGGACTCCCTTGTTTTTATTGATGTCAAGTACGCCCTTTCAGCTGAAAACTTGGCTAAAAATTGATTTCAATGAATGATTTAAACATAAGTCTTTTGACTTATCAGTTCGCTTTCGCTACTTTCTCTGATGGACAGATCAAGTATAGGAATATAGATATTGCACCACACATGACATTTTACATGAAATGGATGTGTGCCCAAGTCTAGAATCAGTTTCTACACCCCAACCTCTGCTCATGTTCTTAGTTCCTGTATATATCAGGCTCAAGAGATTCTGTTTAGTGCCTTACTTCCAAGTTGCACTGATGCACTGCATCATCTGGACACTGAAGTCAGCGGCGGAGCAAGCCGATCGGGCGCCTGGGGCGGAGCACAGGGCCAGCCGGGGCAGGACACTCCGCAGGGCCTCCAGAGTCTGCCTGCCTCCTCCCCCTCAGCTGCCCTATAGCTGAGGGGGAGGCGGTGGGCAGACCGTTTGGGCAGCGGGGAGAGACGCATGGCTTGGGCGCACTGCAGGCCCCATGGTGAGTGCCGCCCGGCATTTTGTCACCCCCTTCAGTGGTGATACCCGGGATGGCCGACCTCTATTGCACCCCCCTTCCTCCACCCCTGCCTCAAGTCGAAGGACCTGGAGCAATCCCACCAGGACTTCAACAATTCTCACCCACCGTGAACATTTATTCGCTACCATGAACAAGCCACTTTGCAAAGGCTAGCCCAGGAATTCCTCTGTAGCTTGTATTTCTCCCTTCACATCCCAATTACTCAAAATCCTACCATTTATTAATGTCAAGGGTTTAGGGAGGAGGTCCCCCCAATCCATAACACCATTCTGTAGACTTCAAAATGTGTTTGTAAGAAGGGGGTGTTATTGTTTTGTTGTTTCTGTTTTAACTATTATTTGTACTTTTATCTTGTGAACCGCTCTGAGTTCTTTTGATAAAGAGCGGTATATCAATCAATCAATCAATCAATCAAATAAATAAATAAATAAATATGTCCCCATACAAAAGCCAGTGCTATTTTAAGATAACAGAAGGTAACTCTTTCACATTTCCCAGTATATCTAGACTATTTTCATTTAAAAACAAAGAAACCACCTTTCCATACACAGTAAACTCTCCCTTATGGTCTGAAACATCTGGTGAAACTCACTAATGGTCTAATTAGTCAGAGAGAGAAAATCTAGAAATTATTTGCAACTTGTAAAAGCATCTTCCTGACCTTCTAGCAATCTGGTAACTGGGTTGTATTCAACAAGAGGGAATTTATTTAGACAAGGTTCTCTGACGTGGTACTAATTAACTGAATAACAATAGGAAAGCATCAAGAGCATTTAATGGAATAATGTGTCTGTGTATAGCTCTACTCATAAATATCTTGTCCTTTGATATGAGAAGTCATAATTCCCAAGGCTTTAAACACAGGCCAGCCATCAGGACAGCTAAGCTTGCTTGCCAAAGTCAAATGAAAAGAATACAGTCTGTCCCACCAAGAAAAACCTGGAAGCTAGTTCACTGCCAAATATGTTATATGTGCGCATTTCCATATGCAGTGATAATCAGTAGACTTCATTGGATTTTAATAAAGCTGTCAAACAGAAATATATACATATCAGAGACAGCCTGGCATCTGTGATCCATACTCTAATAACCTCTTGGCTGGGTAACTGAAATGAGTTCTGCGTGGGATTGCCTTTGTCCAGAGGCTGCTACTAGTGCAGAATTTCACCACCAGCTTATGTGAGGCCTGGGAAGAGATCATATTGCACCTGTCCTTAGACTTCTGGACTGGCTGCCCACTAGCCATGAGGACCAATTCCAGGTGTTGGTTCTAGTCTGCAGGGCCCTGTTGTGACCTGGTACCCAAGTACGTGACTCATGGGGAGAAGACCCTGCCAGATGATTCCTCGCTTGCCACCTTTGCTCACGGTAAGTGTTGCCGTTAATTGGAGAGCCCATCCCTAGCGCATCTGGCAGTGCATGAGACAAAACCCACTCACTAATTTTCTAACATTTGCAAAGCTGAAAAAGAATGTACAACCCCAAAACCCCTGAAGTCAGGAGAACGATGTACCTCAGGTTAAGAATTTAATTCGTTCTGGAGGTCCGTTCTTAACCTGAAACTGTTCTTAACCTGAGGTACCACTTTAGCTAATGGGGCCTCCTGCTGCCGCCACTGCACAATTTCTGTTCTCATCCTGAAGCAAAGTTCTTAACCTGAGGTACTATTTCTGGGTTAGCGGAGTCCGTAACCTGAAGCGTCTATAACCCGAGGTACCACTGTACATGCAATGTAGTTTGTAGCACATTTGACAACTATGTCTGTAAATTAAAATGTCCTTGAATTCCTGAACACATTCTTCTTCACAAGTATGCTGTGTCCCCCAAGTATTGCTTCTGTGGGAAAAAAATATGCTGTATATAGAGAACTTTCCTGCCATATAGACTCCTCAGTTATGTTATGGTCTCTTGTCCCTTCCTGCCAGGATCTCTCATGAGGCAAGGTGAGGCAACCGCCTTGAGTGGAAGGATCCACAGGGCAGCAGACCCAGCCTACAAGAGAAGCACTGCCTGCTTGTTGCTGCCACACGATCCTTGGATGCTGGATTTGTCGCCTCCTAGGCAGCCTCCTGCCATGGCAGCCTCTCAGTTATTAGGAGGTCTTCTCCCACCTCTACGGAGGAAATGGTGGAAGCTGCCCTCTGCGGTCTCCTGGGCTGTGACTCAGAGAAGGCCCCTTCCTCATCTGCAGTGGCCTTTGATTCCTACTTCAACCATCTGATTTGAATGACTCACTTGTTTCCTCAGGTGCCAAGATTTCTTGGGCCAGCCCTGGATTGGGGCCAGGGTGGTTTTCAAACCTGGAGGCTCCTGGGGTTTGCCTTTTCTCCAGAGATTGGGAGTGACACCACATTGCATAGGATAGCACATGAATGGGCAGTTTGACGTTTGATATTTGTTGCCTATGTGTTGTGATCTGTAGTGTAGTGCCCCGTCATTTATCTAGAAAAGCAGCTGATGCATTTTACAATAAAGCACACACATGAATTGTATGGAGACCTCTGCTTAGAATATAACTGTATGTAGCAACAAAGCATGCATTGAAATTAGGGTAATCCTGGACAGTGGAAGAGACCCAAAGCGCTGCAGTGTATCCATTTCCTCACCAGTCATCCCTGGCAGAGGCAATACATTAATAGTTTAAAATTAACTGCTAGTAGTCATTAGGAGTTCTTACCATACCGATTAGATTCCCGTCTGATAAATTCAGAGTAAAAGCTTCCATTTATTTAGTACCTTGTTTTCAAGAAAAGGAAAGCCACAGAAATCCAATCTGAGAGACATTAGGGAACTGGAAGAAATTCCTCTTTTCCCCAAGTGTGTTCTCTTGTTTTATATGTCTGAAAGGGGCTTTGCAAGAGGATGCTATTGTTTGTGATAGGACTGCACAGCCTCCCCTCCCCACAGTCAAAAAAGAGGGGGAGAAGAAGCAAGGACGACTTGGGCAAGTTCTAACAAAGCCATGTCTGCTCCTGACAATGAATATATTTGACACCTAAAGGCTTGTGCATTTTAATGTTGTAAATATATTTCCCTTAATGCAGCAAATTAAAATTGGAGAAGCGACTGTAACACATCTGACCTTCTAGCAAAGGATAATACAAGACGACAACAACAACAAATGATGCTCTATCCACACTTCGTGCCACAAGACAATTCTCTCCATTTTTATTATCATGATTTATTGCACAAATTTGCTTGCTTGCAAAGTTTATCTACATGTGTTTCCAAAAAATATATTGGGGATTTGTTTAGATTTGATTTAAGAAAATATTAGCTTAATTCTTTCCACATTTGAGTCAATTAAACCTATTGAAAGATATAATTGTTTAGTTGTTGGAGACACTGCCTGTGTCCCAGGAAAAGCATTAAATCAGCTTCTCTTAACACATATATTAGAAGAAGGTAATCGTTTCATTTCTCCCATTGACCTGGCCAAATTCTGAACAGGTCATGCTTCTGACCACTTCTGATGACTGTACTGGGCATATAAATTTATATATAAGATGCATAGATGGAGGAAGATTTGCTGTGAATACATATTTACTTATTAAAAGTTGACCCACCACAATATATTTGGCTCCTCCTGCCACTCCCATTGTCAACAAGTTAGCAATACACTGGAGGCAGGGAAGCCTACATTTGTAGC